ACTCGCCTTGCTTCAGTGTGTCAAGCTACATAGCTTGGAAGCGAACAGAGAACAACGGCTAGTAGCAAACCCTGATCGGACGCTTCTTGCCCACTGGGCGAGCCACAGCAAAAACGTCAGGCCCAGTTGCATTCATGCACACAGCAAGCAAGCAAAGATGAGAGAGATAGTGAGTCGATGCTAGCCGACAAGACAATCAGACACGCGTTATTCCCCAGATGGGTGCCTTCTGTCTGCCTTCTCAACACCAACGCACAACCTCTCCCATCCCCATTCATTCACTGTGACGCACACACATAGTCAGCCATCACGTCGTGTAAAGACAGGCACGCTCCTCTTCTCGTTTCTGCTTCTCCACTCCGTTCCTCTTCTCGTCTCTGCATCTTCTCCACTCCTCTTCTCGGCTCTGCTTGTTCGTCATGACGTGCTGGTCATTCGCTGTTGTGTCGAGCTGCTCCTTGTCGTGCCCATCCCGATGCAGCAAAGCAGGAAGGTAGAGGGAAGGGGAAAGAGTAACATGTGTCGAACAGCTCCTCGTCGTCAGCACGTCCACATCACCAGGTCGTCGTCCATCATGCCCACCATCTCCGCTCCTTCACCGTCACAGATCGACCATCAACTCGGACCCCGACACTGAAGCGGTATAAGCCGAGTGCAGCTTTTCTGTAGCTGATTCCGTTGCGGTTCTGCTCGACACGTCAAGACAAGTCAAGACGTCATTTGCCGTCCCGTTGCGTGTGCTGCAGCAGATCTCGAGGTGGCCCTTCCGATCTCAAGCACGCTCCCAACCATCATTCGCAGGCAGTCAGAGTCAGCGCATCAGTGAGGAAAGCCAATGGGCGCGGTGAGCGCTTCTACGGAAGGGAATCTCTCCCAACCAACCTCACTGACTCGCCTTGCTTCAGTGTGTCAAGCTACATAGCTTGGAAGCGAACAGAGAACAACGGCTAGTAGCAAACCCTGATCGGACGCTTCTTGCCCACTGGGCAAGCCACAGCAAAAACGTCAGGCCCAGTTGCATAGCTCCTCGACTTGCGAGCTTGCATGTTTCCGCAGACCACAACGATGCAACTGTTTGTTCGCGGAGGGAATGCAGCATCTCGCAGCGTGGTGTTGGACGTGCAGCAAGGAGATCTGGTGAGCATCGATGGATGCATTGCACCACACACGGGCCCAGGCATCATCTGTCGTGTGTGCTGCCTGCCTGCCGCAGATAAGGGACGTGCTGCGTAAGTATGAGGCCAAGGAGGGCTTCCCAGTTGATGCGCTGCGCGTCATCTTCCAGGGCAAACTGGTACGTCACGCGGCATCCAGGCAGATTCAGGAGTGCATGATTGTCAGCCTGCATGCCTCTGGGGTGTCTGTGGCAGCTGGACCACGACAAGGCCCTCAACTATTACAATATCAAACATGGTGACACGCTGAACGCCATCGTCACCAACACGAAGTGCTTCTCTGCGACCAGTATTACTAGTCTGAGAGTAGAGAAATGCCGCGTCATCCATCCATCCATCCATCTGTCCAGATTTCTCTTCCCGTCTGGCGGCAACTCGTCAGAGGTGAGAGCCAGGCAGGCAGGCAGGCAGGCAGGCAGGCTGGATGGGTGGGAAGCCTCCATGGCCATGTATGTATCAGAGAGTCGAGCATACCATTCCTGAGAGCAGTGTTGAGAACCGCGCCCGACTGTTGGAGGCCTACAATGCAGGATGCAAGACGGTGGGATGAATGGAGGGGGGAAGAGGGGGCCGGCTGGCGAAAAGAATGTCGGATGGTGTCATTGTCTTGCGTCCCGCAGATCGTGCAGATCGTGGGCGACGACTACGGAAAGCCGCGGATTGGCGTGTTTGACATCAAATCGCAGACCACAGTATACCAAGGTACGGATCGCACAACGAGGGCTCGCCTCATCCGGCTCGAGTCGCAATCCGGGTTTGTTTGTTTGTTCTCTTCTGATCAGCGGCGAAGCTTTTGTTTGGCGATCTCAAGCTGAAGTTGGAGGGCCTCTGTGAGTACAGCACGGTGGTGTCGATTCTGTCCGAGGTGGAAGTGGGCAGGGCGGCCTCGGTGCGGAACGCCCAGATGGCCCTCATCATGTCGGTCAGTCCATGGGAGGCCAAACACCTCAAGGCCCTTGCAGAACTGCACGACGTAAGTAGCTAGAGCGGCCGCTGCACTCAGCCGATGGCCGTTTCCTCCCATGTGACTCTTGTCAGACGACGGTGACTCTCGGGAAGAGGGATCGTACCATCTTCGAGAAGGATCGCGCCATCAGTGAGAAGGACCGCATCATCGATGAGGAGCGGAGGACCGCCCAGAAACTGACCAACACCATCAAGGAGAAGGACTCCACCATCCAACACCACGAGGCGGCCATCGCTGAGCATCGCAAGACCACCAAGAAACTGACCAACACCAACTTCGAGAAGGATGCGACCATCATGAAACACAAGGCGACCATCAAAGAGCGCGATGCGGCGATACATTCCCTCCAGGACGAGAACGCGCGACTCGGCCAGCAGAATGCGTCTTTGGAGCGTGATCGTCTCAGCGGCGCCCGTCTGCATCAGATCAGCGCGGCCGAGCTGGGCTGCCTCGTGACCAATATCGACTCCGAGGTGACCCGCCTGACACAGCTGCGGGGGGCGGCTGAGGACCAGCGTGCCAAGACAGAGGTGGCTGAGCGTGAGAGGGAGAGCACCTGCATGGCCTGCCTGGAGGAACCACGCGCAGTGGTGCTGCCATGCGGTGAGTGAGGGGATGGAGGGATGGAGGGACGGATGGAGAGACACGCTCATCCATCTGTGCGTATGTCATGTGTGCCTGTGTAGGTTGCAAGGTCTACTGTGGGTCGTGCTACGAGCGCATCCTGGCGGGCGGCACCGACGATGCCGATGCCGAGGAGGACTTCGAGCCGGAGCCGACATCCAAGTGCCCACTCTGCTCCAAACCATTCTGAGAGGCAGAGGGGATGAGTGACAGACAGACAGACAGACAGACAGGCATGCCGCGGAGGATGGCGGGTCGTTTTTCCTCTATCGGTTGTCAGATAGATGGGTGGGAGAGGGCCGTCCCGTGCAGATTGTTGGTGGGTCAGAGATGCATTCATTCATCAATGAGTGCGTGGATTCGGTGCATGTCGACATGTATTGTATGCACCTTTGTCCATCCACGACTCGTGTACAGTCAACGCCATGTGCCATAGCAGACCATGCAGGTCACAAAGATAACACAGCGCACTCCAATCGACACGTACGCACCATCATTATGCAAGGCTCAGTCCCGGGACACATTAGTCATTCTTCCTCCTCTTCTCCCGTCTTATCTTGATCCTTCTTGCCCCCAAGCAGGAAGTCGCTCGAGTAGTCTGGCTTAAGGTCGAACCCGCCAAAGCCCCCGAACGCCCGGCCCCTTGCGAACTGCCCCACACGCACCCTCACCGCACCTCGCCTCGCCCCGCCGCCTCGACCCCCCGTCGCCGCCTTGCCGTCATCAACAGCCAGTTTGAGCACGTGATCGGGCGCCTTCTCGTCGCCACCTTCTGCAGCAGGGGCGGGGCGAGGGGCGTCGCCGGCTCCCTCGGCTGTTTGCATGAAGGGTAGGGGCTCGTGATTGGATGATACAGCTGGGGGCCGACGTGCCGGCTTGTCGTCGGTCTCGTCGTCGTCAGCGTCCATGTCCATCTTGTATTGGGGATGGGAGGGGTCGGTGTCCGATGCGCCAGCAGGGGCGGCGGCAGACGCACCAGCGGCCGCTGCCTGTCCACCACCAGATGCAGCTGCTGCAGCTGGGCGTGACACCAGCGGCACGGACGCGCTATAGAAGGGCATGCGGGCAAGCTGACGCTCGATGCGAGCACGAATCTGAACGGACACAAAAGGCAAAATGAATGAAGGGAAGAGGGGAGCTTCGTCTTCCTCTTGGTTGTTCGTTCGTTGCGCACCTTCGCAGCCATCTTCTCATCCACAGGTTCCCTTTTGACCTCCTCGGCCTTCCTCTTCTTGCGCCGCTCCTCCCTCTCCTTATCGGCAGCCTCAGCCTCCTCATGGCCACCTTCCCTCGCCCTCCGACGCCCCCTGCCCGGCCCATCGGCCGACCGCCCCCGACCTCTGCGAGCCGGCCGACCACGCTGCGCAGATGGCCCAGCCGCAGCAGCGGCAGGTGTCGACGGCTCTGCCCTGGCGCGGCGATTCCGTCGAGGCGGTGGAGGTTCGTCTGCCTCGTCGTGGTCGCGTGCATCGGATCCCTCCAGGTCGGACGGTGAACGTCCCAGCTCGTGGAACAGCTCTGATCCTGAATCGAGGAAGTCCGAATCGCCTGCATCGGACTCGTCGTCAGAGTCCGATAGGGTGTCCACCAAGTGAGCCTCATCCACAAAACGCTGCGTGTCCAACATGACAAGAGCACAACAGCCATTTTGTCAAAGGTTCGTCGATGCCATGCATGTGTGTGGTTGTTGTGTTCTCTATCCCTCGCTCCTCACCCAGCTCTGTCGGCGTCCAGCGTTGGTGTAGCAGGCCATAGCGATGAACCGCTTCTTGCACTGAGGGCAGCTGTTCTCCTGGCTAGCCCAGGTCTCGATGCACTTGTAGTGGAAAGCGTGCGGGCAAGTGTCGATGAGGCCCAGGCGGAAGTCTCGCCGCGATGTGCTGCTGCCGCGGACGACATCGCCCTCCTCGAAATCGAGCAAACACACACCTAACCGAACCAGATCAGCAAGTTGACAGCAACACGAAAAACAGAAGTGATGGATGAGTCGGTTCCCGACTCGCGTCTTCCTTCCTGTTCGCTTTCGTGCACTCACCGCATGGCTGTTGTCTACATTTGAGCCTCTCTTGGTCCAGCGTCAATGGGAAGACCCTCTCTTCCATCAGCAGGTTGGTCTCATCCACATCCTTCTCCCCGCCATCGCTCTTCTTCTTGGACCGCTTATTGTGACGCGCCATCGGCTCCAACGGCTCCGCAGCGGCGCGAGGAACGCCTCTCAAGTTTTGCGAGCTCAAAAACGATCGCCTCTGGAGCAGAGTGTGACGAAGATGGCGAGCCTTCCGGCCCCACCCCCTTTTTCGTGTAACCGAACTATATAGTTGTTGGAATGAGTGCCTCGTGATATCGCGCGTCGTGTGCCTTCTTGTGAGACCCTGCATCGGCCATTGGGCCTTGAATGCAGCGTGTCGTCAAGAAAGAGGGCATTGCGCGATGAGGCCATCGTCCAACCCGCATAGTTCATGCTGATGGTTCGTACAGATGGCCTTCATGCAGACGGGGATCTGGGCGGCCGAAGCGTTCAAGGACACGGTGACCGAGGAGAGGAGAGGCACCCCCTCAACCCCGCCATCCGCAGCTCTCCCCCTCTGTGGCTGAAGGTGATTTGTGTCTCCCATCTCCGCCACACTGGTGCATCTGCCGTGAACGCAGCGCCGCCCTGACCTACGTCTTTCATGGCTCTTCGTGGTTCGCGGACTTCGTGCCCTTCGTGCTATTCGTGGCTTCGTGATCTGGTGATTTGCGTCTCAATTTTGTCTTCTGTTGCGTCCCAGCGCCCCGCGATGGCAGCATCTACGCCCACGCTCGCCGAGCTCAACAATCGCTGCTTGCGGACTTGGCTGGATACCGATTATCTGCGTCGACATGAGGAGGAGCGCAAGGCAGCCGTCAGCCATCTGGCTTCCCGCATCCGCGTGGACCCCACTGCCCCACACCTCGCGCACCACCAAACCACGCCTCCCCCTCTACGAGAACGGCCGTGCCCCGTCTACCCGCCCATTCCGGAAGAGACCCGCTATGTTGCATACGGTCAAGACTACTGGCGGAGGAGGACACGCCCGCCTGACGCAGCCGAGCGAGCGTTCGAGGCGCTTGTCGCCGAGATCGCCCGCCGCGAGGAGGGCCAGAGGGTTCCGTCAGCACAGCCTGCGCTAGCCGTCCCGGCACCCACCGCATCCGCACCATTCCGGGTCGCCATCCTCTATCCCCACTACTCTCAGCACACCGCACATGCTCTACCGACGACAACGACGGTCAACAGGGAGAGGTCGAGCATCGCAACAATGCCCGAGTTTGCAGAGGATACCAACGCACCGTTCGTCTCGCGCCGCTATGTCGTGTACGATGGTTAAGTACCATCGTTATTGCCTCCGCGCGTGGACAGCGGTATACCCACGTACTCTGCGGTACGAATACGAGCGCACACGTCACGCTCACATGTATACGAGTGCACGCCTTTCTATCTGGCTCGTCGATTTTCACTTGTATATACTTGTACATACTCGCAGTATCCCATATCTATCTGACTCGGCGTTTTCTAAGCGTGCGTCCTGACACACACCACATGCTGACCCGGCTTTTTGTCTGCATGGATCCATAAACACGGACGTACAAGGCGTCTCCATCCTTGCTTCCCTTAGGCGGGCGCCACTCCTTTGGCACCGTCTGCTCCCAGACGTCGTTGCGTGCAGATGTCTCGGCAAAGGCCACCTCTGCAACCATGTCTTGAATTAGTGTGCCATGCGGAGTGGCCTCATCTAGCCCGTGGGGCTGGGGAAAATCGTCAGCCTCCTTGCGCGAGTCCCTGAAACACCGCCTGAGTGCCGAACACAGCAGCCTCGATTAGATCCTCCCCGCCCATGTGTGTTGGCATGTCTCACTCACTCACTCACTCACCTGTAAGCGGCGTTCCTACAGCCATAATGATCGGATTTCTGCCGGTGTTTGGGGTCGTCTGCATTGATGAAGTCCCACATGTCGCCGTGGACCATCTTGACCACGAACTACTGCAATGGGCGAACACAGTGGATGGTTCATGTACTACTCCAATCAACATCAACTTCTTTGAATGAAGACTCGATCCCTCGCTCCACCACCCATGAACCACTCAGATTGACTGACCTGTCGTCGGCGCTCCGGGCACCTTCGGTGCCCTCCGCATTTGGGTCGATCGCTGGCTAGTCGTTGCTCGGCTCGGCCCTTCGGGCCTCGCCTTCGCTCTACCGCTCGCATCGCGGGAAGTCGGCGATTTCATGGTCGCGGTAGAGCACGTCTCCCTTCTCATGCGGAAAGAGCTTGTCGACGAGAGCTTGCGTGAGGGTGTCGTCGTGATTGCCCTTAAGCAGGTAGAGCGGCACATGGCGGGCGATGCACTCAATCAGAGGAATGAACTCGGACACTTTGGTGATGCCGAAGCCCCGTCTGTAGAGGCCATCATCGAGGATGTCCTCAGCTTTGAGCATCGTCTCGTTGAAGGGCACATCTGGGGGGCACATACAAAAGACCATCATGGCATGCCTTGCGTGCATGGAGGTGTCTCTCCTGCATATCCGCTCACCCCACAGGTTGAAAATGTCACCAAGAATTGCAACCTGAATGACGGAGACGATGTGAGCATATTGCACTGGATAAATATCTCCATACGGCTTTGATTTGGTGGGCTTCGAGCAGCCCTTTGGAGTGGTGCAGCTTGAGGAACTTTGCGAGCCCGTCCAGGGTGCTCTGCTTCCTCGTGTGACAACCACCAATGTGGAGGTCAGAGAACACGCGGAGACGGTACTTCTTGGGAGGCGCACTTGCCGAATGGTTGGATACATGCGACGTGCTGCCGTGGGCGTGAAGAAATGACGATTCTAAAGCGGATGCCGATCTCTCATCGATGTTGTAGCCTGAATGTACAGGAACAATGTCATGCAACGTTGCTGTCTCTTCATTACAGCGTTGCGGTGCACGCAGCTGCCTCGTGACGGTCGACATTCTCACCTGCAGCAGGCCGCCCAAGGGCGAGGACGATGGCGAAGAGAATGGAAATGGACCAATTAGTCATCGGCTCTTCGTAACGCGACGCCGCCCGACCAAGTAATGGGGGCCGGCCCTCGACCCGGAGTCGTTACAACGGCCGGCATCACTGCGGCTGGGCGCCGGCACTCTCTGAGTCCCTCGAGTGCTGCTGTCGTCCCTGCCTGCTCTCATTTCGACCCACACCAACGTCACGCGGTGCGCCACTCCCTCCCACCCTCGTGAATTGCGACTCAATTTGCGAGTCACTCAATCTCTCCCTCTTCCTCTTACCCTCCTTCGCTTTGTTCCTCTTACCCTTCCCCTTAATACAAGAGACTTCTCTCACTCGTATTGATAGTTGAATATGGCATCAGCCCCTCAGCCCCACTGTCCTCAGCCCGTGCAGCAGTTCGGGATCCGGAAGGTGGAGAAAGTGCACCCGGGGGAGGAAGTGGCTCAGCCTTGCGCGTCTACTTGCGCCAACGGACACGAGTACGAAAAGGAGATCAATTGGCTTCTCTGGTGCGCGTTTGGCTGCCCCTTCTGTAAGGCCCCACACGCACAACACAGAAGTTGAAGGTTCTAGATGCCCGTCACTGCATTTTTATACACAGGTTATTTCCCGGGTACCTATCGTTGTAAAAATTGCGGGCAAGAGCAGCCCCGGCACTACGGGCAAGTAGATCAACTGCGTCAAGAGCAGCCCTAGCAGCAAGACATGCAGCAAGAGCAGCCCCAGCAGCAAGACATGCAGCACGTGGCTCAGCCTGCCGCGTCTCCCTGTGCAGCTAACGGACACGAATTCGAGGAGGAGATCGATTTGATTCTCTGGTGCTTGTGCGGCAGCTGGTATTGGCTGTGCTGCCCCGGTACGCAGCGAATGCCCCACAGCACAGAGGTCGAAGGTTCTAGGTGCTCGTTACTACACGTCTACACACAATCATGTGAATCCCTGCAGGTACCTATCGTTGCAAGAAATGTGGGCTGACAGTTGTAGACGACAAGCCACCAAGCAATAGTCAGTAGCTTGTAGCATGTAGCCTGTCGCTTGTCGGCCCGCCCAGGAGGGCTTGCTGTTGGTTATGTGCCCGCGTGGATGCAACTTGACAAAGACACGGCGGGCATGCCGGGAGACATACAAATAGTGTATTGATAAGTGACTCTTTCTCTCTTTCTCCTCTCTGTCTCTGTACCTCACGGTGTGTGTGCTTCCATCTCTCTACAGGCCCGACAAACATGAATCGGCCGGCCCGGCTGATGTCTCGACAGCCGAGGCTTAGTGTGTCTGCTGTCTATCGCTCCACGAAGGCACGCAAGTCATACGAGTAAGTATTCCAGTTCTCGTGAGCAGCACATACGAGCGACGCTGACACTGAGGTATCTGATTGCATGGTGCGTGTAGCGCCCTCGGACTGAGTATGAGGTGCCTAGGTAGTGTGCGTGTGTGTTGAATTTATGTGGTTGGTTGGTTGGTTGGCTAGCTGGTTGGTTGGCTGATGGATTAACGGCTGGCTGGATGGAGAGAGAGGGGTCTTTACAGACGTTAATTGCCAGGCTGTACACGACATGTATAAAGACGCCTTTCTACGTCTTTATACATCGAAACACCGCAAACAACACATCGGACCACACGTGCATGCGCAGGGGTGCGCACATAGACGTTCATTATATACACACACTCCAAGTCGACACGTGTATGCGCAGGGGTGCGCGCCGCAGGGGTGCGCGCACAGACATTCATCATAACACTCCAAGTCGACACGTGCATACGCAGGGGTGCGCGCACTGACATTCATCAAATACACACACTCCAAGTCCAAACGTGCATGCGCAGG